GTATCGATACTGAAACGTTGTATCCGGATACAATACTCGTTTTTAAAAGTATCGATACAGTGCCACCACCAGTGGCACCTAAGCAGTGATTCATCTAAAGTGCAGAATAGAGGAAAATGCACTTTCTGAACACTGCGTGATTGAATAATTCTACGCACTTTTCAGTTTCAGACTTTTTTTTGTAACAGGTGCAGCTGCTGAGAATTATTTTTGTTTCTTAACCGGTTTGGCTAGTGTCATTGTTATGTGTGCAAAGCATAGCCAAGGAAGGAACACTTATTTTATCAAGCTTGCTTAATATTGTGCACAGCATACAACCTCAAAATATTGTTCTTATTGTATATTGTATTAATTTATTGTATTTTATTTATTAATGAAAATATTTCTGTAGAATTTTGGAGTCTTTGTTTCTATCCTTGTGGAATCGAAAATGGTATCGACTATCGAATATTTTCCTTAGTATCGGGATCAAGTTGAAAAGTTTAGCATCGTGACAACCCTATTTGACGTAGAAAATTGTTAAACCCAATCACAATGTCTGCAGCAGGAAGACAAGTTGCCATAAGAAATAATAAAATAAAAACACCCAGAAGCTGATCACCAGCCAATACAGGCTACTATACATTTAATAGGCATTAAAAAAAAGGTTGCTATTGGAGCACTGCTGTTTCTGCATGCCATGCACACTGCAGATCAGTGCCGCTACTACAGAATCCATGCTACCTAATTACATGCGACATCATGCTGATGTTCTATCTGCACTGATGAAGATTTACTCAGCTGGATGCTTGAAAGTGGAACTGACAGCATAACCTACGTTAGTAAAAACTAGGCGATTATTATACTTTATATGATGATCATTGATAGGCCTAAATATTCATTGATAGTGTTGAAGTATAGATTATAAAACTATGGAAATGTAAAAACAAGGGTAGGATTCAATGACCTCTTTCTTGCACATGATCTGTAAATGCATAAAGTTAATTATTTGTCAGCTTCTTTTATTCTCCATTAAAAGGATGAAGTTAAAATCTACAACCTCTAAAGTTACATTTTGGTTGGATGTGGAGAAAGGCTTTTGCTAGATCTAAATGCAGAAACCCATGCACAGAAAGATATAGACGATATAGAATGCATATTTTATGATTTCAATGCAGTATCTCTCTGCATATTTTAAGCAATAGCGAATCGCTTTTGTTTACTACCATTAGCGCAATGTCACTTGTCTCCACAACAGGCGCTAATGTTCTGCAGTGACGTCTCCTGAGGCATTTATCCCATGTCCCTCTAATCCAGATCAGATCTAACTGGACCAGACAGCACTGTTTGGAAAGCTGAGACTAGCCACTATCACAGGGTCAGCTCTTCATTAGCTCAGATTAAAGCCAAAGGAAGCCGCTGAGGAGGAGCAGTAATCTTAAGGAAAGATGGTGTCATGGTAACGATAGCTCACTGACTGATGACCTAAACACGACCACATGACCAGGAGTCATTGTTGAGCTTTTTAGCGCGTGGCTTAAAGTCACGGTCACATGACGTGTTGTAAGACAGAGCATCTTCCAGGTCACTGGGTCGGAGCGTTGCATGCTGGGAAAATCCTGTTGTTGCTTTTAATAACACATTAGTGTCTGGGTTCTTTAGTTTAACCTGAATGCTGATCATGAGGTTTGTTTAATGTATAAACAACTTATTACTGTATCAGCGTGTTTCATCCTTGTCTACCTCTTAGGGAAGTAAATTGAAAAGTCAAGGATCAGAAAGTCATTGTGTAGTCAGGTGCTTCTATCAGCTCGTCTGCATGCTGTAATTTCCCATTTTTAGACAAATAAAGTTGAATTGAAATAAAATCTTTAGTTTTAAAAATGCAAAGTGAATCAGTTTATACGCTGATTAGACCTCCTGAAAATAACCTATAATGCCGTTAACAAGTCTTTGGAAAAACGTCTTTACTCTACTTACTACTTGCTTTTTTACTGGTTGTTTTCTATTAATATATTATATATCATATTTAATTATAATTTGCTGCTTTCTGAGTGATTCTTCTGTGCTGTTTTACTAGTTAGGATGGTTATATCAACAGAAAAATTACATAGGAGGAAAAAGGCTCATACATTTTTTTGTTCCTGTTTCTTTTATCTCATCTTGTACAATTCCTCAACAGTAAATTTGTTTTTGGGGTCAGAATTTAGCAACAAGGTGATTCCTAAAGATACATTAGCTAAAAATCTAAAGCTAAAAATTTTTTAGATCTTCAGCAAAGTTTAATTAAAAGGACTGAAACAAAATCAGAATAGGAATAATAAATCCTTCGTTTTCAAGGAAAATAGTGAAGCAATTAAACTTAAAAGTTTAGAGTTTTTTTTTACAATAAGCTTGCACAGAAAACATGGATGCCATTTGAAAGAAGAAATAAGAAAATATAGCAAAAAGATTTTTTTAAGGTAGTTATTTATTCATGTCTTAGAAATGTGTTTAAGAATTAAAATGTGAAGAAAGTGGAGAACAATATTCAAAAAGGCTGCAAAACTATTGATAATACACTTAAAATGATTGTCTCATTCATTGATGTCCATATCCTAATATTATCTTGCAGCCGGAAGTTAAACTGCTTAAGTTTTGGACGTTTTATAGTCAAAGTAAACATGTTTAAGATTAAGCGACAAAAAGCATCAATAATACATCCTGTTTCTCTGTTTGCATGCTCTTATTTTGAAGTATTTGAAAGACTCCCGCCGCATTAAGATCTTAAAACAGTTACGGTGACCTTGTGCTTGAAGCGAGACAGAATTCGATTATTTGTTGGTTAATGGATTCAGATGGAAAGGGGGAAAAAAATAGGATGGATCAAAAAATGTCCTGAACTTTATCAGGGTCATGCAGTGCCAGAAGGTTAAAGCAGCAGGCAGGAGGGAAATCTACTGTCATCTTCTAGTGCTCTGCAAAAGTTTTCACATTTTTGGGGTTCGCCATGTTGCATCATTAAACTTCCGTTAAATTTTTTTTCTGATTTTCTGATACCAATCACATTAAGTAGTGAACAGTTGAGAAGTAGAAGGAAATCTTTTCTAGAATGTTCTTTTGGCTCAGAAATAGCTCCACCTCTGGGCAGATCTTTGCATCCTCTTTGTAAAAATGGTGAATTCCCAGACTTAGATGGAGAGCCACTTTGAAGTTGTCACATCTTTCTACAGATTTTCAAACTGGGAATTTGACCGGGCCATTTTTAAACATGCCTGTTTTGATTGAACATTTCACTGTAGCTCTGTCTGTATGTTTGGGGTAAACCTGCTGGAATATAATCGCTCCCTCAGCTTTGGTTTTCTGACAGTATTTCCCGGTCCCTGAATAGTTAGTTTTGGTCTCAAGTGACCATAACACCTTCTTCCACATGTTGGTTTGTGTTCTCCACGGCTTGTGGGAAACTTTCTATCAAATTTAGGCTGTATGGAGTGGACTTTGTTCCATTATTCTGGAAATTGTAAATGGAAATGTGAAAAAAAAACACACATTTTGTAAATTGAAACTTAAAAAAGTAAATCCAGAAATAAAACTTTATGTAACTTTATAACTAACATTTAAGTTTTTTTTCCAAATATATTTTTCATCTTTTATACTTTTTTTCTATGTTTCAGATTGATTTTCTAAAACTGTATTCTTTTCATATTGCGACAGTGGCGTTGGATGCAGGAGTTTGCCCTGAAATCGAAGGGTTGACGGTTCAAGCCCAGACTCCGACTTTCAGTGTCGTTGTGTCCTTGGGCAAGACACTTCACCTGCATTGTCTACTGATGGTGGTCAGAGGGTGGCGCCAGTGTACAGCAGCCCTGCTTCTGTCAGTGAGCCCCAGGGCAGCTGTGGCTACAATGTAGCTTGCCACCATCAGTGTGTGTGTGAATGGGTGAATGAATGTAGTGTAAAGCGCTTTGGTCAAGTCTCCTGACTTGAATAAAGGCGCTATATAAGTACAGGACATTTACCATTTGTTTCCCATTCTCTTCACTTCAAGCTAGATAAAAATGGAAGCTATTAATGCGCTAATTGACCAATATAAATGTTGCTAATGTTTGACCAATGTTTTGTCTTCCAACACAGGAAAGCCCGCCCCCAGAAATTACGAGAATATAACGTGGAAAACGCAATTTGAAAGTAATTCAATTTTTTATATTCTATAAAAAAAAAAAAAAAAGAAAGCATAAAATCTGTACAAAAAAAATACATTTGAAAATATAAAGTTTGAGAAAATAAATTTTAAAACATAAACTTAAAAACTAAATGTTAGGAAACAGCAAAGTTAGTCTCGCTACCTTTTTTTTTTAAATTAAAACATTTCTGAAAGTTTCTTTTCTGGATAGCATTTTTTATTTCAAAATTTCAATTATAAAACATCTCCTTTGCTTCCAAAAATAATGGAAAAACGTTCCCCCCATGAGCCCGGGTGTTTTTATGGCTTCTTCTCTTATCAATGTTCTCCTCGCCCGTCCTGGTCAGGTACGTTCGCAGTCATGACATCATCCCAATTTTTTTAATGATGAATTCTTCTCCCTGAATAGACTGCTGTGTTCCTCAGCCTTCACATCTTCATAATGCTGTTTGTTCAAAACCCCTAAAAACAACTGTTTTTTTTTCTTCTGTGACAATTTATACTATTAGTTGAACGCAAAAAGAAAAAAAAACAGGTTTCATTGCAATTTGTTAGTGTCAGATTAAAACCTTTTTAAAAAGCATCATTTTTCTTTCAATTCACGAATAGGAGATCCTCTTTGTCGGTCTAACACATAAAATCCCAATAAGATACGTTGATGTTTGTGGTTTTTGGTTGATTTTCTGACTGTTGAGTAGAGGAACATGCGTATCATCAGCAATCAGTAAAGAAAAACAGGAATTCAAATGGATGTCAGAGGAAGGATGACGCAGTATGGGGTGTGTATTGGGCAGAGAAACAAACTGTACGGCAAGCAGCACCATCATCATCATCATCATCATCATCATCTGTTACTTACTTGGAAGTCATTCTCTTTGTTTGACTGTCGGGAGTCCCCTTTATTACAGGACATCTATCAACAAGAGAAAAAGGAAAGAACTATCCATGAATAAAGGCGAAGCCAAAAAAACGGAGCATCATCAACCAAAAAATGAATGAATCAATAAGACCTGACCATCTACAGACAGTAGTGAGTAATGAGTTCAACCACACACCATTAAACAGCTCATCTTCCTTTATCTAGCCGCTGTTTCACCCGGAAACCCAGAGAGAGGAAAGAGTGCAGAGTTAAAAAAAAGAAAGGAAAACCTGCTGCCAGATGTTTGTGGTCGATTAATTTAACTTTCTCATAATCCAGCCGTGCATATCTTCACTGCTGAGAAACTGCTTCAGCCATTAGAAGCTGTGCACACAAACGCTGGCGCCTGACTTCTTTAATCATATTAGCTTTCTGATTAGGCGACACTAATTCCCGCTGAGAGGCAGCGGAGGATGCTGCAGTTACCTTGGTGAAGGATGCAGCGCTTCGGATAGTTCGGACATCCAGAGCAGTAAAAACTGTTCACACAGCCATTAGTGATTAAGCAAACTGGAGTTAATAACTTAATGCAGGACTAATTAAGTCAGACGTTAATGTGTTCTTGGTATAAACTGGTTTAAAAGGTAGCAAGAATTCTAGTTTTGGTCCTTATTCTTCATTAATCATCTGGAATAACTATGACTGGCTTAGATCAGGGCTTCAGGACCATCTTTAGGATCAGGGGAGATGGTTTTCTCAACCATTGTGATCTGATCCATGAGGGAAATGAAGGGCAGATATATATCATGTAGAGCTGAAACAATCGGATTAATCATGATGGATCGATCACTGAAATAATCATCAACTTATTTAAAAATAGATTAATCATTAACTGGAGTGTAGAGAGTGTAAAATATGCCTTCAGCTAAAAGAATAACCCACTTATATTATATCATTATATTAAAATATATATATAAACATTTTGCATTTATAATTAAAAAAAAGTTTTCATCTGTCAGAAGGAAAAGTTTTATTTTCACATGGGTTAATTGTGTAAAAAAAAATCTCATTTAAGTAACCTTTGGCTATCCAATTATTCATCGATTAATCAAAAACATTTTTAAAAGATTAATCGATTTGCTAAATAATCGTTAGTTGCAGCCCTGCTATCATGAAATAAACAAATTTACCATAATCCACGATTCACGCATGAAAGTGTAAAATGCACAATAAAATTATTTTAATTTCAAATGATGGAATAAATGTCATTTAAGAAATACATTTATTTAGAAAAAGGATATAATAATATTTTGTATGCATAAATAAATATAGAGTGAATTACTTCCGTGTGTTTTTTTAAGGGGGTCTGCTGCTGTGATGCTTTTGGGGGAAATGTTTGGGAACTCCTGAGTTGCGCCTTATCTTTGGAGTCTTTTTCACAAACTTCGGTGCCGCAGGATGATTCCTGCTTCATGATACTTTGGGCTTAACATCCACGCATGTAAAGTTATAAGGCAGGAATACAGACATGGGGAAAACGTTTGCGTCGCTGTCGAAGAAATCCCTGGAAAAACTGAGAGCAAACGAGTCACTTTCATGGGATCAGATGTAAACCAGATACTGCTGGTTAAATACACCTACTGACCATCGCTTCAAATACAGAAGTTTCATCAGTTTGGCCTTAAAGAAGCAACAGTCATTGAGTTTGGGAAGATCTATAGAGAAATTCCCTTTAAATCTGAATCCAACAGTCCACATAGATCTTCATAATGTATTGAGCTCCAGTGTGCAGCAACGCCAAGGCAGTGGATTGTTATCTTTCAGGCGGCGTGGGCTTGCTGCTAACTGAGGTAGCTACCCGGACCGACTTTCACTGCCTTTCATGCCCACACAGGATCTAGAAACCTGAAACTAAACTGTTGAGGCTTATATAGAGTGGGGGAGGGAAGAATGAAAAAGCAACAGGGCAGTGAGCAAAATGCGGGTTCATAACAAAAAATCCCGTCGCTGATATACTTTCATCTTCCACTGATATGGTTCAGCTCCGATGGAAAACATTCAGGATGCTGAGGCTTGTTTTTACAGCTGCATCTTTGCAGTAAAGCAACAATAGCTTATAGAGACAATAGCAGATGGACGATGAAGCACGGAGGTGGAGAGATAATGATTTGGGATTGTTTGCTTAATTTCTATTTAGTTTATTTATATAGTGCAAATTCACATAACATGTCATCTCAAGGCACTTTACGGAGACAATTCAACCAGATCATACAATCAGAAAGGTTCAGTTTTCTATGTAAGGATGTAGCGACAGTGGAGAGGAAAAAGTCCCTTTTAACAGGAAGAAACCTCCAGCAGAACCAGGCTCAGTGTGAGCGGCCATCTGCTGAGGCAGATAAAGAGTGAAATCTAAGATATTCTAACAAACAGCGAAAGTTTGATCCAAATGGAGTAAAGGCAAGGCCACACCACTCTGTAGGCTCTGATGCACTGAAAGTGAGCAGATCTGGAATAAGAAAAGCTACACATAAAGAAAAGAGAGCGCAGCTACAACAAAGACTGTAAACCCTCACATTCCACATCCTCCCTAACTTCTCTCCTCTAGACGGCCTCAGCCAAGCAACACCTACAGCTTCCACAGATCTCTGCAGCTCTGAGTTCCTTGGAGTTCCAGGAAGGCATTATATCGTTATACTACTGTGTTCATTACCACTACGAGGTAATGAACGTTCAGTCTAGGAGGAGATCATTAAAAATGACCATCAACATCCAGAATAGGTGATTTCTGCCCAAAACCTTTTCTTTTTGTTGTGCGTCTCTGTAATAAGGACGCCGATGATAATACAACACTGATTGGCCCTCTACTTCCAGAAACCGCCTGTCTTTGTCCAAGTCGATAAGAAGTTGCTCTGTAATGTGAGATGTGCTTTTGGGAGGCGTTGCAACTGGATTTGACAAAAAATCTTCAGCCTTTCACATAAAATAAATCTTTAGATCGAGAAGACAATTCTGCTTCCCTGTATTATGGATTTATAAGTGGTTTGCATCCAATATTTAAATAAAAATGTCTTCTTTTTGGGGAATTATTTAAAATGAAAATGGTGTTTTAATTTAAAGATATGGATCTGTAGTTGCGCTATTTTACTTTGACAAGCTGGATGTTGCTAACGTCGTTCTTCCTGTTTGATACGATGGCATCTCCAGAGCTTGCCCATTCCAACGGACCGAATCAGGGCAAAAAAATGGACTTTGCGGTGGAGGATGGAGAAAACAGACATAGGCAATGAAGTTCCGACAAGTCACGGAGAATCTGGAATGGTTCTCATGTATTGACATAACTACGCTCCGTGGGGCGTTTGGGAGCGGTTTGTGCCCCGCATTGTTACTCATGTAACCACATTTCTGTAGCTCGGAGAGAATCACTACTTTACTTCACTTTCAACTCCTCCCATAGAGAAAGTTCACTGTTTATTGAAATGTTTTATTGATTTTATATGCATATATATATATATATATGTGCTTCCCAAGAAGGAATTTGTGGAGGATTGAGTGCGGTTTGACAAGGCGGATGCATTTTTTTAATGCATATGATCCAAATTTTACGTTATGTCAGATGCTAAATTGTTTTCTGTTGTTTTTAAGCCTTAAATGAAAAAAAAAAAAAAAAAAAGAATGGGTTGATCTACTGCTAAAACATCCCACTGAATTCTAAGTTGTATTTTATTTTTTCTCGTGACAGTATTCATATTATTTTTATTTTTCCACTAAATCCCAAAAGATGGATAGGGTTCAGACGGTTAACTTTCCTTTGCTGAATGATCTGCTGATGTGCAGAGTCAAAATCTTAAAGCTGACATCTTTACAAGTAGAAACCAAAAGGCAGGGATTTTTAAAGAAGGAAATGATAAAGAGACAGCTTGCAGCTTTTTTGTTATCCCTCCACTCTGTGTCTTCCTGCCGCTGTGCTACATGAGTGTGCGTTAAATCTTTATATTAGGCTGAGATTTCAGAGATCTCATACTGTACCGTGTTTTTTGGTGGGTTCACCTGGGAACAAGAGTGCCCAAGGCACGCTCCTTTGGGGAAGCCTACGGCAAAGAACACATGCATGTACAGCCATGGGGGTACATCACTATGTACAACAATGGCTAACACGCACACTCGCTCTCACACACACACACACACACAGTCGTGAAGGCATAACTACTAAACATACATGCATACTCTAACATCGGCATATGAGCTACAGGCGCGCACACAACTGCGACCTTTGATGGCGGCTCTGACACATCACACTGACCCCTGTTACATGAGTCATCTCTGAGATAAAGGCAAACAGGCAGACGGCTTTACTTCAACAAGGATCTACATACCACATTTCTGCTGTTAATAGTGTGTAAAATAAAATAAAAGACTAAACAAATGTGGGGTAAGATAAGTGTCAATAAAAACATGATTTTGTATAGGTAAGTTAAAAATGTAAATAAATGTAAGATTTGTCTTTGTTTCTTTTTGTCTTTTAAATTAACTGACATCAGATGTTTCATCTGTGAGAATATGAGTTCAGATGTTGGGAATACAA